GACGGAAAAGATTATGGTAAAGATTATTATGAAGAAGATTACGGCAAAGACATGGATTATTATTATAAAGACGGAGACGATTATGGTAAAGATTATTATGGTAAAGATTATTATGATAAAGACGGAAAAGATTATGGTGAAGATTATTATTATAAAGACGGAGAACATTATGGTAAAGAATATTATTATAAAGACGGAAAATATTATGGTAAAGATTATTATTATAAAGACGGAAAAGATTATGGTAAAGATTATTATGAAGAAGATTACGGCAAAGATGATTATGAAGAAGATTACGGCAAAGACATGGAATATAATAAAGAATATTACGGCAAAGACATGGAATATAATAAAGAATATGGTAAAGATTATTATGATAAAGACGGAGAAGATTACGGCAAAGACATGGAATATAATAAAGAATATTACGGCAAAGACATGGAATATAATAAAGAATATTACGGCAAAGACATGGAATATAAGAAAGAATATTACGGCAAAGACATGGAATATAAGAAAGAATATTACGGCAAAGACATGGAATATAAGGAAGATTTTTGTAAAGCAACTAAAGAAGGAAAATGCTTAGCTCTATGTGGTCTTCCAGTACCAATGGGAATAGACCAACCATTATCTAACTACACTTGCTTCACCAAATGCTGTAAACTTGACTCGATTCCGTACCCTACTTACACGCCAACTTTTTGTGAAACTAAAGAAGGAAAATGCCTACAAAAATGTGGTATTTCATCAGTTTATACTCCATTATGTGAAGACCCTTGTTTTAAGAAATGCTATTATTAGTCATAAAATATGAAAAACCGATACTGTACACAATTTTAATAAATAAATAAATAAATAAAAATTTATTAGTTTACACATAGTGTTTATACATGGGCATAATCTATTGAATTATAAACAATTTTTGCAAACGAAAATTAAACCCTCGCTTATGATTAGGGTAAGGGTGAGGCAAGATATAGCTTATACCAAAATTCACAAGGAATTTTTTTTATTAGAAAGATTTCATATTCAAAATTTTGAGATATCTATATTACTCGTGTACGTGTACAAATAGAAATTCTATTTATTTAACATTTATTAAATATTAAGGTTAGGGTTAGGGCCATTTTGATATTATATTTAGAGAGATTATAAATAAAATTGCCTCCCCGACATTTTTTATTAATGTAGGTTTTGACTACCGTTTCTTGTATTTTCGCATTTTTTCTCTTTTTTTCGCTTGTTTCGTCGGACTGATCCGGGATGGCCAAAATTTCACAATTTTCATCTGTTGATCATCAAAAACTCGCACCGCTTTAGCGGATTTACTTATTTGTGCGAGTGATACAAACCCAAAAAAGGAGGTCGTCTAAAGTATACATGCCACCGAAATAGGTTTTCAAAAAAACCCTATTTCGTCTCCATTAGAGTAAATTAAAATTTTTTATATGCAAGAGCAAATCTAATTTAGGTAGTTATGTTCTTTATAATTTCGTTTCTTCGTCTTTTAAGTAAAGTAAGTCAAAAACAATTTCGTATTCAAATTTTAATTTCGTACCCCGAAACCTAAAATAATTTCGTCCCCCGAAGCCTAAAATAATTTCGTCGGCATGTATAGTCTAAAGCCAGGTGCGTTCACGTGACTTACAACCAATCAAGGCGTAACTTTGATTTACCCGGATCAGCCCGACGAGACAAAAACAAAGAAAAAAAGTGAAAAACGCGAGAAATACAAGAAACGAGTATCTAAACCTGCCTCGGGCACTAATAAAAAATGTCGGTAAGACAATTTACCTATAAGCCCTGCCCTAACCTTAACTCCTAATTAAACGTAAAAATAAACTAAGTTCGTGAAAATAGAAAGTTGTCACGTAAAAAATTTTGGGGGCATGCCTGTAGAGCATGCCTCTAAATCAAAAAAGCCAAAGGCATGCCCATGGGGCATGCCCGAAAATTTTCCCGTGCCCCCAACCCTACCTATATGTAAATTTTCATTTCCGTCACTTTTAATTAGTGACCAAAGACAGGTTTAAACACTCTGTTTCGTTTTTTTTCGTGTTTTTCTTCGTCCGGGATAATCACATTTTACTTCTCCGATTGGCTAATTTCCCTTTTTGGATTTGTATCACTCGCACAAATAAGTGAACTGTAATAGATCACATGAAAAATTACGTAAAAAGTATCAACCAATCAAAACAAATGTTACAAAATTTCAATCCCATAATTTTTAAATTTATTGTGAATACAGGGTATATAAGTTTACGATTACCACATACTGTTGTGTTGATAAGAAAGGAGAGATAGTTGGCAATCCCCTCGATAAGGACGGAATTTGGGATTATATCCCTCCATCAACCGATTAAGGCATTTGTCAATCCCTTCGGGGTGCGACGTCTTATAAAGTTTTTTTTTCTTTTCTAAAATAGGCCTTAATCATCTAATAAAAGAACGTATGACTTTTTTCTATTAAATAGTTTTTTGATGTTTCTATTGACGACCTCTATTAAATGTTCTGTACTTTATTTACCTTATGAAAAATTTTGAACCAAAAAACATCCTAAATTCCGTTTCTTAAGTATTATATAATTTAAGACATATTATAGTCGTTTTCAACAAAAATTCCACATTTGAGTGTCGCTAAAAAGAAAACCCGAAAATTTAAATATAAGTCATATTCAAATTTTCGGGGTTTCTTTTAGCGGCACTCATTTTGATAAACTTATTAAGAATCTAATTTAAATAACGTCCTCTTCGGATAAAATATTGTAGCAACTTTTTAATTTTTGGTATACTAAAGACGTTTACCCGCCAATTATTAAGCAAAATAAGGATGTACTGTACAGTACAATAATGATAATAAAAGAACGTTCAGTCGAATGAAAACCTATCCTTTTAACACTTATACTAATTTAAACACCAAGAATTATTTATTTAATCGACAATAATGAAATAATATTATCGTTATACAGTAATATCGAATATAACTTTTAAACAAGATTTATAAATTTATAAAAAATTTTCTATTAACATGTCTATGATAAAATTTAATCATTCCAATTCTTACATTCTAAATACTCCAAATTGTGTTTTTTCAATTGGTGCATTTAGAGCAGCACTAAGTGCTAATCCAAGAACCTTACGTGTATCCGCTGGATTAATAACTCCATCATCCCAAAGACGTGATGATGAAAAGTATGGATGCCCTTCATGTTCATACCTAGCACGAATTGGATTTTTAAATTCTTCTTCTTCTTGCGTTGACCACTGAATAAAACATTAATTAAAAATATAAACAAATTATTCTTTATTTCATGAATTAACATCCATTAATTAACATCTATTAATAACCACTTACTTCCTCCCCTTTTTTAACTTTTGATTCTCGTTTAATTTGTGCCAAAACACTTGCTGCTTGTTCACCACCCATGACTGATATACGAGCGTTCTGTCATTATTTAATTTTAACATTTAATTAAACGTTAAATTAATCCAATTAAGAATTGAAATATATAACTTACCGGCCACATCCATAAAAATCGTGGACTGTATGCCCTTCCACACATACCATAATTACCAGCTCCGAAACTGCCACCAATAATTATTGATAGTTTTGGTACTTTTGCACATGATACTGCAGTAACCATCTTTGCACCATTCTTGGCAATACCACCAGCTTCTGCCGATGATCCTACCATGAAACCTGTAATATTCTGCAAAAAAATGAGTGGTATCCCACGTTGTGCACAAAGTTCAATAAAATGTGCTCCCTTTAGTGCTGATTCTGAGAAAAGAATTCCATTATTTGCAACGATTCCAACTGGATATCCATGAATATGTGCAAATCCTATGATGTAAACTGTTATATAGTATTTCTTTCATTATCAACAATAAATATATGTTGTAAGTGGGAACGGAGTTTAAGTGGATTTTGGAATTTCTTAGAATTTTAGGATTAAGGATTTCTTAGAATTTTAGGATTAAGGATTTCTTAGAATTTAGGATTAAGGAATTTCTTAGAATTTTAGGATTAGGGTATAGGGTTTATATAAAATAAACTCTACTCAGAAACACTAATTTAACCAAATCCACACTTAAACTCCGTTCCAATTTACAACATATATACAGAAATGTCTTACCTGTAACTAATGTTGTTCCATATAATTCTTTAAATTCATTAAATCGACTCCCATCAACAATTCGTGAAATTACATTCTTGACATCAAATGATTTACGCAGGTTATCGCCCACAATACCACCAATCTCTGATACAGAATATAAAGGTTCTTCTGGTGTTCTCATCGTAATCTAAATTTTGTGAAATATATATCAAAATGCACATATTTTATTTATTTTAAAAAAGAAATTATTGTTTACGTTTGGTTTTTTTGTCCAATTAAGTGAGCTAACAACATTTCTTGCAAGCTGAAGTGCGTGCTCATCATTTGTAGCGTAATAATCAGTTACGCCGGAAGTTCGACCTAAAGATTAAGTGATTAAATATACATAATATTAAATATTTGAAATCTTTTAAAATATTTTAATAATAAATCAATTCATGCTCACAATGTAAGTCGGCTCCCCCAAGTTCTTCTGCGGTGATATTCTCACCAGTTGCTGCTTTAACCAAGGGTGGACCAGCTAAAAAAATTGTTCCTTGTTTGCCAACAATAATACTTTCATCAGCCATAGAAGGAACGTAAGCTCCACCTGCTGTGCAAGATCCCATCACGACCGCGATTTGTGGAATTCCTGCTGCAGACATTGTTGCCTGTTCTGATACTCATGAATTTATAAGTTCTTTAAATTTGAACAAAATATTAAATTACTAACCTGATTATAAAATATACGTCCAAAATGGTCACGATCTGGAAAAACTTCTGCTTGTTGAGGAAGGTTTGCACCTCCAGAATCAACTGGATTAAAAAAAAAACTTGTAAGCAACCCAAATTTTTTTTTTGTTGTGATGAAATTGAATTTTATTTGGTTTTCGTACCCAAGTATATACATGGAAGTTGGTTTTCGAGCGCAATTTCTTGTGCCCTCAAATGTTTTTTTACTACATAATCGTAAGGATTATTATTAAATTAAAATACAAAGGTTTAAAACGAAAATGAATTATTTTACCTGTGATAGGATAGTAAGTACCACCCTTAACAGTTGAATCATTTGCAACAATAACACACTCCACTCTATATTAAAATTTATTAAATCTTATATAAAATACTTTTATTTTAAAAATTTTCATCAGAGATTTGGCTAACCCTGAGACACGTCCAATTCCAGTAATTATTCCACCTGCCGGTACATCATCTGAATACAATTTGTACCCAGCAAGTTGCGAAAACTCTAAGAAAGGTGATCTGAATTGTATAAATTTTTGATGAAAAATCGGCACGATAAATATTCTAAATATACAATTGTCGAATAAGAGAATTAACTTACCCATTATCTATTAATCGATTTATCCTAATAAAGTGATAGATTAATTATATAATATACCAAGGGTGATGTTTAATAAAATATACACTGCCTTCAAAAAATTCTTTATGATAAATCAATAAATTTTTTCATACAGAATGTTTATTGATATCTAATCGTAGGTAATGTATCTTGTAAACAAAAAAATACCTGTCACGAGGTAACAATTTTTTACGGCCCAAATGACGCTTTCTCGCTTCCTCGCCACCACCTAAAGTGATGGAATAAATTTTAAAAGAATTCTTTATTTAAATGAACAAGTAAAAGAATAACATAAATTTAAATATTTATATTATAAACATTACCTAAAGAAATTTTATTAATAAGCGTTTCCAAGTCTTTTACCAATTCATTCATTTTAATAGCATTATGCTATCCGAATCAATAAAGTTTTAATAATTGAAAACAGAAATGGATATAAAGTACTAATTTTATTTTTAATATTTTTTGTCATGATATATTACTTTAAATTCTTCACTTTTTGTATCAACATTATTTTGCAAGATACTCGCATCTTTTTCGTGCCAAGTATGATAATTCTTTAAAATTGATATGTTTATACTTTTATTATAAATGTTTTTGGTAAATTTTTTTCGAATTAGAAACGATGAAATTCGATTTAAAAACATTCCTAAAAATATAATAAGACGAGTTTCTCGATCATCGACTGTATATAACACAATTCTCACGTGGCCTCAGGAGGTCGTACAATATGCATTTGATTAGCTAAATTCAATTGGCCGATCAGTATCTTTATCTGCAGGGACGATGATTTTCTGCGGAGATAAACCGTCGATTCCGTCCGTGACAAACTCCAAATTTAAGAATCCTGCATTAGTTATATAATATAAATTATGGATTCTGCGTTATTCTGCGACCAATTTTGCAATTTATTCTCCAGATTATTACAGATACCAACAAAAAAATTTTAGCTCGATCACGCTCGTATTTCAGGTTCTTTCATTTTCTACGCCGGAACTTTTCAGTAATTATACTTAACAATAAAAAATCATAGATTCTGCTATAAATCCCTACTTTTTGTGATATTTCCGTACTTTATCTTTACTTTCTGCAACAATTCTGTGCTATCCTTAACGTATTCCATGTTTACAATCTAATTCCGTAATTTCTGTGAAACGCAGAAATCATCGTCCCTGCTTATCTGTTATTCTTGATAATCCGACTTCGGATTGAATGTATACATTAAATTTAACCTAATTCTTATTTAACATTTAACATTACATTATTTAATGTCAAAACATAAATGCTAATACAACAATGGTTTTAACATTCCATTTTAATATTTACAATTACACAAGCCATATAACGTTTCAATATCGGCATAGATATGTAGTCTTAATGTTTTGTCAATTTTAAAAAATTTAAAATTATATTTAGTTAACAACCTGAAATTTTATCCTATCTCTTGATTATAATACCATCTTCCGATTCTCATTAAAAGAATTCCTTGTGAAGTTTTAGCATTTTCCTAGTCTTAATTCTTTAAAATAATTTACTGTTCTAACAATATGACGACAAGCCAATAAAGGAATGTTTTATTATAACACGTTGAATTAGTTGTAAATAATCTAGGGATCTGCAAGCCCGGCAGGTGCCCATGCCTAACAAAAGGCACAGGCATATCATAGGCACAGATGCAAAGACATCTGGCATAAAGTTAGTGGGCACTTTTGAGGCACAGGCATAAAGTGTTTGGCACATGTTGGGCACTTTGCATTATAAGTATGAACAATCGATCCTAAACTATCAGGTACTAGGGCACAAAGTGCCTGCTTCAAAGGTGCCTAAAACATTGCATGTGTGCCTACAAAATGCCTAAAACTTTTGTGCCCATGGGCACGGGCAACCTCACGAGCATTAGTGCCAGGCATGATGCCCAATATGCCCGGCATGGGCATTTGCAGAACCCTAAAATAATCATTTAATTGTTTATTGCTAAATAAATTACATAGTAAACCATACAAAAATACTATAAATCTAAGTGACGATTACATATTCACTTCCAAAAAAAATAAAAAATAAAAAATAAGCAGTACAAAATTCAGAAATAACATTAGTGTAAAAGAAACATGCATGCTCTGATAAACGGTTAAAATTAGGGGTTTCAAAATTAAATTCATCGAATCTTATTTTATTTTTCCGATTTATAATTCAACATAGTAAAAATGCTATTGAAAAAATCCTACTTATTTTCGAAATAGTCACTTATTTGATAATTTTGAAACCCCCTAATAGCAAAAATAGATCAAATGAGTTAGGAAAATAGACATCAGAAAGCATGAAATTCATTATAAAAAATAATAAATACGATAAGTCTCTAACGAGAAATTGGACGCGAAGGATCTACGAAAATAAGCTTAAAGCGTTGTTCGAAGACTTTTTTTTTTGATAGAGTATGAGAACAACTTAAATGTAGATTTAACAGACGATACTAATCAGTATAAAAGAGCGTCACAAAATAATGCGTTGATTGAATTAATTAAAATTTAAACATAGCTTATAAGCTTTATAGTACTGTACGTATGTATGCTTCAAATAATTACTGTCAATTCATTCATTAACACCCACATGATTCACAAATTCTTAAAATTCGTTAAGGCTAGGGTTAGGGTCAGGGTTAAGAACTAGAGGGAGTAATTTTAATAGTAAAATTGTCCAACGAAAACTTTTTGTTAGAGCACAAAAGGCGGTTTCTTATACTGATTTTTGCGATTTTTGGCAGAACAAACGTTTGTTTTGAATCTACTTGATTGTGTTACGTTACACCTAATCTTGAAAACTGATTCGTAGATCAGAAGAACTACGTCACCAACCTGGTACGACTGCATTATAGAATAACAATAAAATGAACTTGTATGTGTAATAGTTATACACTGGGTGGTATGGGTATAAACGGAATGAAATTCCGCAAGAACCCTATTTTAATTTGAAATTTGAAACAAAGACCATGACAAATTATCAACATTATCAAATGCGTGTAAAAACTGTTATTTGTTTATTTATCTTCGCATTACATTTATCAAATGGGAATCCACAGAAAAAGGTGGCAGTGGGACAACCGATCAGTTTTTAATAGTTTGTAGCAATTATTTACGTTTGAAAATAGTTCATTTCATTAAATGTCGTGGATGCTCGTAAATCTAAAAATCTCATTTGGCTAATCACCTAATCTTAACCAATCAGATGTATTAATTCAGAATTTCAACATTATCATCTTGAACTTTTGGGGGATCTAATAAATATCACAAATAATGTCAAAGAAATTTTGTTAAAAGATGAATCAAAAAAAGAGATGAAAGGACTTACGAGTGAAGAGAATAAAATGATCAAAGGTAACAAAGTATTTTGAGTTTTCAATACAGTGTCCTGGAGAAACAAGAATCATGTTTATGGCATACTTGATAGGCAAACAAAAAAAAGTTTTGCCATAAAATATTACATTAAAGTTTGGCAAAATGACTTTTTTATAACAAATAAATGACATAAAAACATAATAAAATCATATCAATAATATTTTTTATGACAAAAATGACACTTTTTATGAATAATTTTGCCAAATTCCATCACTGGGTATATCAGGTACAATATACTTCTCTGTTGCGACAATAATTAAAATTGTTTTTCGGAGTTTTATATCTAAAACTAGGGATGGCAAATGTTTTAAAACGCGATCTTAAAAATCATGTTTGTTTGATTTAAATCTGTTAAAAAATGTTTTA